CCTAGCACATTTGAAATGAGATGATGCAAAAAACTGTTCATAGATTTAACTCGTTGTCATAATCAGTTGTCAATGTAGTTAGCTCTAAGATATTAGCATTTGGGTGCTATTCTGTAAATGAGAGACTAATTTATGTTTGTATGGATGTACTGATTTGAAAATCTACAACTGATTCCATAACAAAAACCGCAATCCAATGTATTTGCTATGGGGCCCTGTGTATATAGAAAGGCCATCGTACTTAGAGTAGATATTAATCGTATTATTCGGCCATTTCTTGACCAAATGTGTTAACCATGTTCTTCCAAAATATTATCTGCCTAAAAAAACATACTCAGCTGCATTCTAAATATCGACTGAAAAATATAACTTCAACTATGACTATTTATCCAGTCCATGGCGAGATTTAGTGGAGGTATGCTGCAAATATTAATAAATCGTTAAATAAGCCATCTGCCTTTGGGTAATAGGGAAATAAGACAAAATTAAGAAAGCATTACTGGGGCTCTTGAGATGCTATGAATGGCATAAACAAAAACGAAGATCGATTACGATTGTTTCTCTTTCTAACGTGGCTTGGACATTTATTACTAAATTTCATATGTCACATCTCATAGCTATTCTTCGATATCAGGTAAAACTCGTGTCGTTCTTATCTTCCTTCTCCAAAGTGATGTTCTAAATTTCTTCGAGGATGTTGGCGTTAGAGAGTGACGGTATTAATCTTCCTTCCCTGAAGCATTTGACCAACATTACGGCTAAGAGCCTTTAGGCAGTCTTCTACTCTCATATCATACTAAAACATAGTTAAACACACATACCATACTTCAAATTTGATCGTCGGATTGATCTAACTACATTGTAAACACTTGCTCTTGAATTTGTTAAGAACACTTCCACATTATGCGTCATTTAATTGTAGCGCTAAAATTTCGCCACATTGCGTAGAATGCCTGGACATCATTAATTATTCATCAGCACTGAAGCGGGAGATTTGAATGCACTCGCGCCTTGAAAAGCCCATAATTAGAGAAGAAAGGGCCGAAACTAGCTCAGCAGCGTTCATAAAATTCGGTTTTTCAATTGCCAAAAGCAGAAATTGAGAAACCCAAGAGCGGGTTTTTGAAGAAGAAGGGTTAATCCTTAATTTAAGCTTAAAAAGGGGAAGTTTGAGAACGTATAAGGACTATTCCTGAGCCTTTGAAAATGACGAAAAAATGGCCATTTTTAGTATGAAGGACGATTTCAAAAGCGATTTTTCAAAAACTCAAACCAGCTTCTTAAAACCCAAGAGCGGGAAATAGAAGATGGATCTTTCCTGAAACAGAATCCGTTTTAACTTGGGAAATTGGTGAACGGCAACTACTATTCCTCGCAGTTTTAAAATTTGTAGTCGAAGTTCCTTTCGAAAAATGGCGCGTTTCGAGTTCGACACTATTGTTTTAAGCCCACGCTTGAATAACAATGGCTGTCAAAACTAAACAATGGCCTATTCAAGAAAACCACTCATTTGTAAAATAGACGATTTACCGCGAGTTTTAAAAATGATCTTAGCGCATCAGCTGCTTTATGCAACTAAACCACGCGATGATGAATGATCACAGAAAAAATGATCGTGACGGGAGTTCTTTTCAGAGCTCATAGAACCTCTGATTCACCCTCATCTCATACAAGTAGTTCCACCTTTTCTTGTGGAAAGCAATCCAGTGTACATGATTCAAATGAGCGGTGAAGCAGCTTGGAAATGCAGAGAGTTTTACTGGCTGCCTCATAGAGTATTTGATTTACTCCAAGCGAGCATGCTGCCTCTCGGCTAGAAGCTTAATGAATCCTTCTGCGATCGCGTTGGTCGCACAGTCGGCGAAGATATAAAAGAATACAAATAAAGCGCGTGAACAGAAGACAATATTTTTTTGCTACCCTGTGTAGCAGTCGTTTTCTCCCCAAAGGAAAAAGGCGAACTAAAAGCTTATGAGACTCAAACAAAGAGAACCCGCACGGGAACCAACCAGCCTGTAGCTCAAACACGAGGAGTAGACAGAGGGCACGTGAGTTGCTCTCTTTTACTGGCTGCCTCGTGTGTGACTTTTATTTCGTTTCGAAGAAACAAGTGTCAGAATGACTTACAGACCTAAAAACGTCCTTTCTATTGTAGAAATGTTATGTAAATATGCAACTTTTAATCTCGGCTCAGCACAAATGTCCAACTTCTGTCCCATGACATTTTCATTCAGACAAGCTGATATAAGGTAGAGGAGTATAGAAATATAAAATATGACGATGTTTTCGGCAACTTCTGGCACAGCCGGCCAACATATTAAGCACATTTTCGAAAATTCCACCTAACAATGCATTTGCACAAAAACCGGACTAAATTATAAGAAATTTCCATCGCCAACTTTTTTAGTTGACGCCTGGATTGAGCACTGTGAACCTTTTTTATGATTTCTGATACCATAAAACGTCATTCAGAAGAGAAAATTCTTCATCCCTACAGCC